TGCCCCTGGGCTCTCCCTACTGGCTGTGAGGTTAGTGCTCCTAGGCTCTCCTTACTGGGTATAATTATTATTTCCCTGGGCTTACCTTGCTGGACTGAGCAGTTAATGCCTCTGTTCCCTCGTAACTGGGCAGAGATTAGTGCTACTGGACACCCTGAACTGGACTGAGAGAGTAGTGCTTGGGATCCCCCTATTAGACCGAGAGATTAGTGCCACTAGGCCGCCCCTCCTGAACTTATAGGTTAAGAAAATAAGAACATGAGAAAAAAGGAACACTGCAACAGGCCTACTGGCTCATGGAAGGCAGGTCCAAGTCTCCCCACTGGCTTAAGCCAATGACCCAACCTAGCCAGGTCAGGTCACATCCCACTTGAGGCATCAGACTTACTAGCACAAGCTAGTCAGTCCAACTCACACCTCTAGTCTTATTTTTACCGGACAGAAGGGTTAATATCCATGGGCTGTGTACAAGGCTGAGAAGTTAGTTTTTCCAATTTCATGTGTTTTGATTTGAAACGTGTGACTGTACACATGGTCAAGAGTATACGTTTGCTAGTACTTCCTTGAAGAATAATTAATAATAATTAATCCATGGATGTGTTGGGTGTCATTACAGGCACAGCACCTCATGCACCCCTCGTCCTCCTCCCCACACTGATCCCTACAACAACCCACCTGCTGCTCTGCCTGGTGCTACCTGCTACAGGAATACGCAGGCACCTATGAACCGTCAGGAAGGATGGTAATGTATCAAGCCCCAGAGAAGTCTCTTGCAATTTAGTAGTCTCTAATATTCTCACTGGGGCATTGTTGGTTTCTAATTCAATTTGAGTATTGTTTCTGGAATACACCAACATAGTTAGAGGGTTTTCTAAAACTTAACTGGTTGACACATCTAGGCAAATGATGGTTATACTTCCGTCATATGCTTTGTGGTAATGACTTCAGACCTTAATATGCGGGTAAATAATAATTTTTTTCTAGGCCCCGTGATAGGGAAAAACCATTTCTTGTTGAGAATAGGAGGCGCTGGCCCATGAAAACTGAGACATTATTACTTGTACAACTGCTGGTCATTGCCTAGCTGGTGAAGTGATGTTTTTGTGATATCAGATGAGCATGACATATGGATCATGAAATGCTGGTTATGTCTTATGTTCATGAAGTGTTGCTTAAGTAACGGGGTGTTCTTAAAAAAACTGAACTATATTGTTCTTGTTTATTAATTTTAAGCTTTGCTGTTCATGCACTATTTTTCTAGTTTATGCTTTCTTATACTAAGTTATTTTTCTATAGCATTGTTTTATAACATTGTGTTGCTGTCTTCTCAAGCTTCAAACAGATCTTGTGCTGCATTTAATTTATATACTGTGTTTCTTTCTATATTGTATTTATATGTTTAATTCATTATTTACAGGAGTAGAGTTTCTCTCATGGCATTTCGTGTCCATTAGTTATTCTAGCATATTCTTTATTTAAATTTCCATTTGATGTGGTACTTTTACAATAATGTGTAGAGTGCGTGTTGTCTTAATACATACATAACACCTACATAGAACATTAAATATCATATAAAAGAGATTTTCCTTTCAAGTGTTAACTCCTTGCCAAGGGGCGAGGACTGAGGAGCTGAGCTGTGAAGCAATATACTTCTTGAAATAGTAATGAATGAACTCACTTTCATCCTATGAGTAAAAGTGTCTTAGAGAGGGTCAATACATAATATACTACAAACATATCTAAATTGTTGAGAAATGGCATTACCAGCTAAGTTTAAAGAGTTTGTACGTAACTTAGAAAGACAGCTCATCGCCTGCACAGCCGCCCCTGCAGACGAAGTCTTGAGAAGCTGTCGAAGTCATCTCTCAACGGGCTGTAAAGAGTTATAATTTGTAAGATTATAAATTACCCCTAGGGGGTGTTATGTCAGCATATTTCATTCACTGATGGCTGACAAATTACATACTTGTTTGGACTCAAAAGTCCGCACCTTACTGCCGACTATAGGTTGATTACAAACTCCTTGCGACTCAAAGAACTGCGCATCCCCCGTACTACAAGAAATTCGTAATCTACCTTGCTCTTGTACGTGAGCTATGGTGTTCTTCACACCTTCGCAGATATCGGTGACTTGATAGAAGCTGAAGTGTCCTTGGATGTCCACGTCTTCCATAGTCTAGGAATACGCACACTGGTACACATGTTCCACAAGATTTGTCTTTATTGTTCACAATTTATCACTAAGAAACTGATCACACTTCTCTTAAGTGTTTATTGTGTTTTATGAGACACTTTGTTCACACAAACGCACAGACCATTCTTTGTTGGTTATCCTGGCATCAGTGTCACTCTCGTAGAGTCAAAAGTAATCTGAAGATGCCACAGCACCCCACGCCGT